ACATGAGTTTAAGCAAGCTCCAGGAGACCGTGAAGGGCAGGAAAGCCTAGCGTACTGCTATCCATGGGGTCGCAAAGAGTCAGACATGGCAGCAACTGAACAACAACACCTAAGAATGCCAAGCCAGAGAACAGGAGTGGATCACCCCCAGGGCAGCTCAGGAAAGCTCCCCTCTCCTGGATAGGATCAATGTCTCCCAGAATTCCCAGTTTCATCCAGATCAGACCACAGGTTCTGCTGGTCACACAGAGTTTAGGATGTCTGTCTGGCCAGGTCCCCTCCCCCACCTCCAGGGAAAGAGATCCAGGAAGTCTGGGCGTTCCCAAATTATAAGATCCTGCTCCTGCAGGAGCTACGCAGTTTCTGTTCCAACCTGGCTCTTCTCCAGTTGGGAAAGAGCCAACCCAGGAAGCCACTGAGAGGTTCCCACCTTCCAGCAATCTCAAGTCCTCAGGCCTAGAGCAGGAATGCACCTCGAGTGTGAAGTATGTTGACTGAGAGGGCCCTGAAGACATCTGGGCTGGGCCCTATAGAGCTGCCATTTGCCCTCCCTCCTGACATCTGCCCACAGGCTAGCAGGCCCTGGAGAGCTGGGAGGGGGCAGCAGGGCCTGGCAGTCCCAGTCCCCAGGTCACTGGGCCAGGATGTCAGTGTATCGGTATATCATAGTTACTACATCCTGATTTCACCAAGGCAATTTTTTCCAAGTGTGGACAAGACAGAGAAATATGGGCTGACTGGTGGGCTCAGAATGTCTGCACATTGGTGCCCTGAGGTTCAAGTATAGTTTTATAGACTCTCTCTTTGGTTTTATTTCAGCTCGCATCGTTTCTCTGAATGAAGAAAATGTGCTTATTGAAACTTTATGAGTAAAAGAGATAGAGTTGAAAAGAGTTAGGAATAGTCTGTATTGTTAAATTGGTAATCAAAAAGGTTTGTAAAAGATAAAAGGTTAGATCAATTAAATCAAAGCCAAAAAAATAAAATTTAACAGAAATAAAAAAAATTTAACAGAGACAAATGTAAACTCCTTCATTTAGGTTCAAAATTCAGTCATGTACATTTAGGTTGAGAGATCCCTGGTTTATTTGCAGTTTATGTAAACTATTTCTCATGTCTAACATGAGTTACCAGCTTTTGAGGTTTGCTTAAATTGGTAGATACAACCCAATGCCATTTAATGGAGCTGTTCAATGACTATATCAATTCCTCCACTGTTTGTTTGTTTACTTGATTGCTTGGTTTACTTAATTTCTTTTATTTCTAAATGTTTTTGCTCTGTTAGCCTCAGTCTTTCCACTCTACCTTCAAGTTAGCTCCCCTCATGGTCACAAGATAGCTGCCACAGTTCCAGGCATTACATCTAGGCTCAAGTTTCTAATAGAAAAAACCAGGTCCTCTTGTGTCTTTTTTTAAAAGGAAGAAACCTTTCCTGGAAGCCCTTAGCAAATTTCTCCTCCACTTCATTAGCTAAAATTATGTCACATTATCATGCCCTTGGCAAAATCACTCACTGGGAAGGAAAATGGGCTCACCACAACTCCTTAAATCAGTTATGATTCTGCCTCTGACACAAGGAGAAGGTTGGATACTTGATCAAAAACAAATTCTGAGTTCAGAAGGAAGAAAGGAGGTGACAGAGAGAAGAGCTATGATTAGGTAACCAAAAGTTCCTGCTCTGATGTCAATGAGCTTTCTATCATTAGAGATGTTCAAAACTGAATAAAACCTGCCAGAGATATTAGAGGAGTTTCTGGTAGTGGGTCAGAGTTGGATGTGATGACCTCGAGGTCCTTTCCTTTCTGGAAGATGTCAATCCTGTATAATTCAATAATTCCACATGGCTCACAAGTATACACGTTTCCCCAACCAAGGCCCACATCTCTGGTTGAGATCTATGAAGTAGACTGAAGGCAATCTCCACTTCCCAGGGGTGTCCTTCACTTTGCACTGCTCACCCTTCTCAAGCTCCCCTTCTCTGTCTCCTCTCCATCACCACATCTGGGCACCTCAGGCTATCTCAAGGCTGAAGTGAAAAAAACAGGCGAAAACAGAGCAGACACCAATCTCAAACTTCTGCCCAGGTGTGGGCTTTTGGGTTGCAGCCAGGGAGGAAATTTTTTTTTTCATTTATTTTTATTAGTTGGAGACTAATTACTTTACAATATTGTAGTGGTTTTTGCCATACATTGACATGAATCAGTCATAGATTTACACGTGTTCCCCATCCCCATCCCCCCTCCTGCCTCCCTCCCCATCCATCCCTCTGGGTCTTCCCAGTGCACCAACCCTCAGCACTTGTCTCATGAAGCCAACCTGGGCTGGAGATCTGTTTCACCCTTGATAATATACATGTTTCAATGCGGTTCTCTCAGATCATCCCACCCTCGCCTTCTCCCATAGAGTCCCAAAGTCTGTTCTGTACATCTGTGTCTCTTTTTCTGTTTTGCATATAGGGTTATTGTTACTATCTTTTTAAATTCCATACATATGCGTTAGTATACTGTATTGGTCTTTATCTTTCTGGCTTACTTCACTCTGTATAATGGGCTCCAGTTTCATCCATCTCATTAGAACTGATTCAAATGAATTCTTTTTAATGGCTGAGTAATATTTCATTGTGTATATGTACTATAACTTCCTTATCCATTCGTCTGCTGATGGGCATCTAGGTTGCTTCCATGTCCTGGCTATTATAAACAGTGCTGCGATGAACATTGCACATGTCTCTTTCAGATCTAGTTTCCTCAGTGCGTATGCCCAGGAGTGGGATCGCTGGGTCATATGGCAGTTCTATTTCCAGTTTTTTAAGGAATCTTCACACTGTTTTCCATAGTGGCTGTACTAGTTTGCGTTCCCACCAACAGTGTAAGAGGGTTTAGGGAGGGAATTAACACTCACAGTAGCAAGAGACACCTGTGGAGCCACTATTGTGTGTAAGACAAAAGGAATGAAAGGAAAACTGTTCATTCAATTTCAGATTCACAGAGCTTATAGTATAATTGGAGGCAGGAGATAGAATACACGATGGGACCAAAAAATAGTCATTCTGTGTTCATAAACCACACGTGAAAACCAGCCAGGTTTCTTATATGTAAGGTGAAAAATAATAATCTAAGATTAGCACTCAGCAACAGAGGACAGCGACAACACAATAAATGTTCAGGGAACCAGGGGAAGAAGAGCAGTGTTATTAAAAATAATAGTAGCTGACGATAGCAACCACAATGGACATTTCCAAATACAGTGAGACTGTCCTTGCTTGGAGACTGTCACCAGCAGTTGCGCATGCCCACCAGGGAGACTGGCTGCCAAGGGAAGATACAGGAGACATGCCACACCTGCTTCTGTAGATGTATGCCTACCTCACTTCTGATGAGATCTTTGTATCCTTGACAAATACGAAATAGGACATTATCATGGGTTTGAAAAATAACTCCCAAATTTCTAAAAGTATCCTAGGTATTGGGCTCAGTGCTGGAAGCTTTCAGTAAATTATCTAATTTAATTCTCAATGATCCAAATGCTCTCTTGAAGTCCTTTTAAGTCTTTCAGATTCACCCTTTCCTTTAACCTCCAGATAAATATGGTTCCCCTCCCCCTGTTCTCCGAGATCCCTGAGAGTCGCCAGGACTTAGCATTTTCATGATTCTCTCTCATTCCTATGTGCTCTTCCCTCTCAATCCTATTCTGACTCAGTTCTGGAGTTCATGCCTTTTTTGTCTTCTTGTCGATCTACAGAAGTGGGGTACTTAACCAGAACCTGGGGTGGGGATGGGAAGAACCTCGGAAGGAAGGTGAGGTAGCTCTGCCTGTTCCTTAATTTCCCTCTAAACTTTACTAACATAAGGCAAAACTTATAAAGAGAAGTTTACTGAAAGTTGGGAGTAGCTGGGGAAAAGATGGGACTTTTCAAAGCCCAGCAAACAGCTGGAAATTAAAAAACCAGACCTTCTACTCCTGTAAGCTCCCCCTCCACCAGGCAGATCCCCCAACTCCTCCCTTCAGCCTCGGCCCTCCCTCCCACTGCCAGACGCTCCCCACACCTGCCCGGCTTTGGCCCCCTCTCCCCCGATTTCACTCTGACTGGAGAAGGCTGGCTGGAGAGCTTTGCCGGTCGCACCGCACTGAACTGAGCTCACTTTCCCTTTGTTAATGGTGGTCAGTGTATTTCAGAGGGCTGTGAATCAAGCGTCTTGAGCTGCTTTGCCTTCTAGAGATAGGTAGTGATTGCTGGCAGAGAGACAGGGATCTTTGTTTTGAACAAGGACACCTATCTCTACCACTGACCACCATTAACACAGGGGGACACTGAGCTCAGTTCAGTTCAGTCGCTCAGTCGTGTCTGACTCTTTGCGACCCCATGGACTGCGGCACGCCAGGCCTCCCTGTCCATCACCAGCTCCCAGAGTTTACTCAAACTCATGCCCATTGAGTCGGTGATGCCATCCAAACTGAGCTTGGAGTGGTTAAAAATGTGTCCAAAGTCACAGAGCTGGTGAGTGATGAGGTCTGGTTTGAACCAGGTGTGTAGGTTCCAGACCACCCCTTCTAACTATGAAGGTGATCTTAAAGAGGTGAGGCTTGAGGGAACCTTGAGGGAAGGAGACTGACAGCAAGCAAACACCTGAGCTGAGACCTGCTGAGCTGAGGGAAGCAAGCAGAGCTCCCTGGAGGCAGGGAGCCCGGAAGGGGCTGGAACAGAGGGCAGCCTCCATGCCAGGGTGGGGGCCACGGGAAAGGAGACGAGGGAGTAGCCGGAGAAGCTAATTAGGAGGGACAGAGCTAACGGCAGTGGGTCAAATCAAACAGAAGGAGGGAGTCTGGAGGGTGAAGGAGAGAGAGGCGCCAAGGGTCGTGTCCGGATTTCCAGATGCTCCCTGAGGTGGTGACCATGGTGGGAAGGCCGGGAGCGGCCGGTGTTCACAATGCGTTCAGTCAAGTGTGCGCACGTGGAGGCGGAAGCGCCTGTGGAGACGGAAGCACCCGTGAGGCTTCCGCCCGGAGACGTTCACAAGCTGCTCCACGTATGGGTCTCTGGTTCCAGACAAGCCTGCACTGGAGAGGCGGTCATGGACCTCTAGATGGTAATTAAAGCCATGGGTAGATGAGCTCACCTTGGGAGAACGTGAGAGAGAGGAGGCGAGGGCCTTGGACAGGAGCGTCCCAGGGAAGGGCGGGGCCCAGGGAGAACAAGAGGAGGAAGCTGGGAGAGGGGAGGCTGGGCAGCCAGAGGGGCAGGGGAGGGCTCAGGGTATCCAAGGTAGGGAGAGGTGGGCGGTGGTTCCAGGAGGCAGAGGTCCATGTTGTCCAGTGCTGCTCCAGAAGCATCATTCATTGGATGGATTTGTAAACAGAGTACAGAGAATTGGGAGGGTGGTCTTCGGAGACCACTGGTGATTCCCCTCAGAGAAATAGCATCTGATAAGTGAAGGAGAGGTGAGAACCTAAGGTGGCAAGATATGGAGGAGAAGGAATAGATGCTATCAGAAGAGACCGGTAGGGGCGAGGGAGAGAGGGTTTTGCTTGGTTTTGCATTAAGAGGGTGGTGAGCAAGGATAAATGATGAAGGGAAGGAGCCGGCCACTGGGTGGAGGGAGTTGTAAGCGGCAGGAGGGAAGATGCAGATGGGGATAGACCAGAGACTTCTGAGGCTCAGGGACAGAGGGTCCCACTAACCTCTCCTGAAAACAGGCCCCGTCAAAAGCACCTGAATCCACAGAAATCTGTAAGAGATCTGGGCATGAATGCACAGTCCCAGGAGTGTGATGGAAGGAGCAGAGATGCCCCTGATGGGACATCCTGGCCCCTTGTGAGGCCAGGCTGGAGGAGGGGACACAGTGCTCAGGGAATGCGGCTGTGGCTTGGATCCTTCAGGTCCCTCTGTGATTTCCCCCAGCCCTGAACACAGGAGCCTCAACCAAGCTCTCTCAGTCCGCTCACCTCCCCCAGCCAGGGGCTGTTTACACGGCCCTTGGACCACCCGCCTGAGCTGCCCCTGCTGGTCTGCACGGGCTTGGGCTTCTGTATCCCTCTGCCTCTGGGGAGTACATGTGTGCCTACAACTCCTGCCTGGGTGCAGAGTATCCTAGCTCCTGGCCCCTCGATTCAGAGCAGTGGTGTCCCAGAGCCTTGGTGCCCAAAGGATTCAAGTCCTTCCTTGAGTCTGCCTTCCTCCAGCCACCTGGGAGGTGCCTGACACCCCAGCTTCTCCAGCCTCCCCTCCATGTCCCCAGACTTGGTTAGTTCCCAGGCAACCTTATTTCTCCACAGTTACGTTGGTATAAAAATGTAACTTTATTGAGCACATGCTGTTCATTTATTCATGTGCTTAATGCTCATGGAGCACCCCTGTGTACTCCATGCTTCACTGATCACTGGTTATCCAACCGAAAACAGGACAGATTCATCCCTGCCCTTGTGCAGCTTGCAGCTCTCTTCCCTAACGTTGTGCCTGACACTTGGCTTCCTTTATCCTATTTATTCTCATAGCAACCCTGCAAAATAGACATTACTACCTCCATTTTACAAAAAAAAAGAAACTGAGGGATTTCCCTGGCCATCCAGTGGTTAAGACTCGGCACTTCCAATCCGTGGTTGGGCACCTAACATCCCACATGCTGCACAGTGTAGCCAAAAAGAAAGACAAAAGAAAGAAACTGAGGTCCAATGTGATTAAAAATTAAACAGCAAGTAGGTCACAGAATCCTGATCTGCCATCTTGAGAGGCCCTGCCTTCTCCAAGCAGAGCTGATCCCAAGTTCTCTGTGTTTGGAGTCTCCCAGTTCGCTTCTTTAAATTGACATCTTCCCCTCCTTCTGTTTCCTCCCTCCTTCTCTCCCTTCTCCTGCTCCTTGGAGGAAAAGGTGAGTTGTTTGAGTCCCAGATCTAACTGGCAAACCTGGAGCAAGTTGTTAATTTCTCCACTCAGGGCCCACATCCCCTCCTCCTTGAAATGAGCATGATCTTGTGGGCCCTTTCCTCTCCAGAAGGCACTGGGAGGATTAAATGGGGTCAGAGATGTGAAAGTGCTCTCGAAGGCACTCACAGGCAAGGGGTTATTCTCACCAAAACCCTCTCTAAACGGAAGCCCTGGGATCAGCAAATTACTCGTTAAGGTGCATCGCAGTCACTGTATTTCCTGTCCCAGGCTGTTTACACTGTAAGTCCTTCGCTAGCTGTGTAATGAAAGGGTTTTTCTCTTCTGAAGGAATTTCAGGTGTCATCTAACACGGAGCAAAAGGAAGTGGAGCCTGCCTCACACCTCTGAGATCCCAGACAAGGAGGAATAGAAAGACAAACACATATCAAGCATTTATTACGTGCCAGGCACTGGGCCAAGCACTTTGTCCACAGCACCGTCTCTATTTCTCCCAACTCCTTAAGACTGAAATACTACTAGTTTTACTCTACAGATAAGAACATTAATTAATCTGAAATTACAAAGCTTTGAAGTGGTGCATTTAGGACTTGGACCTAAGCCTGATTCCCAAATGTATGCTTCTTCCACTGAGAAAAACCCAACCCTGCCAGACATCCCTGCTGGAGCCACCTCCTCCAATGCAGCTTCAGCAGTGTCACTCTATGATAACCTCTGATTTGCCTCCCTGCCTGCCCTGTTCTAGACAACCAACCCTGAAAGGACACAGACTGTGTTAAACTCATTTTCATATTCCTAACCGTCAGCACAGTTTGCCTGGGCCGCAGAAGCTGAGCAGTTGATGGTCAAAGAATAATTTCTGTCCTAAAGATAAAATCATGACTCTCACATACAAATATAAAATCTGTATCAAAAATCTACTTAACTCATTAATTAATGAGGACACCAGTGAGATGTTACAAGCAGTTCAAAGGAAAAGTCACAGAACCTTAGATATGTATGTCTTTGACTACTTGGACTGTCATAACAAAATACCACAGGTTGGGTGGCTTAAACAGACATTTATTTTTCATAGTTTGGAGGCTGGAAGTCCAAGATCAAGATGCCAGCAGGATCGTTTCTAGTGAAAGCTGATTTCTGTCTTGTAGGAGGCTGCCTTCTCACTGCCCTCGTGTGGTTTGGTCTGTGCCTATGCAGGGGAGGGGCAGAGAGAGTGCGGTCTCTGGTACCTCTTCTCATAAGGACAATAATCGTATAGATCAGGGGGCCCCAACCTCTAGATCACACACTAGTACTGGTCTGTGATCTGTTAGGAACTGGGCCATACAGCAGGAGGTGAGTGGCAGGCAAGCGAGTGAAACTTCCTCTGTATTTACAGCCGCTCTCCATCACTCACATTATCACCTGAGTTCCACCTCCTATCAGATCAGCAGCAGCATTAGGTTCTCATAGGAGCACAAACCCTAACCCTAAAGTCAAGGTGAAATATCCTGAGAATGCCACAAAATAGAGATAAAGTGCACGATCAGTGTAACGCACTTGAATCATCCTGAAACCGTCCCTCCCCTTCCGTGGTCCGTGAAAAAATTGTCTTCCACGAAACTGGTCCCTGGTGCCAAAAAGGTTGGGAACCACTGCTATAGATCAGAGCCCCACCCGATGATCTCATTTAGCCTAAATTACTTCCTTAGAGTCTACATCACCAAATACAGCCACACTGAAGGTTAGGGCTTCAAAATATGAATTGCGAGGAGAGAAGGTGGACACAAACATTCAGTTGTTAACAACATGCAAATAAGGAATGCTGAGATGAATTTACAAATAGATGTAAAATGGGTCTGTCCACAAGCAATAATAAATTGACCACAATTAAATTATGTATTATCAGTTTTCTGCCACTTCCAGAACTGTAAAATAGCTCAAAGACAATGAAAAGTTGAAAAAAAATCAAGAACGTGCTAGTCAGGACACTCAATTATCTTTTTCATCTATTTCAGTCTCTCACAGTGTTTCCCTATAGAATGAATCAATAACTCAGTAAAAGCAGTGGTCTGGGCTGCTGCAAGAAGTGTCCACTCCCCAGCCATCCCCTAATTCTATCTCTCTCAGATTGCATTTTTGCACATGTTTTTTATCACCCCATTTCTACCAGACAAGGAGTGGTCTCACAGCCTGGCCCCTAGGCCTTTCAATTGCCAATCAACTCCCACTCACAGTGGTACTAACATCCCAGACTCATATCTACAGCTGCCTGGGGAATAGCTCCTTTGTTGAGACTGGAGAAAGTAGGTTTTTTACATCACAATGTAAAAGGCAGAGGGCCTCTCATGTCAAATAGCCAACATCAAGGGCACAGGTGGGCTGGGGAGAGGAGGGTCTGGCCATGACTGAATTCCCTAGCCACTCACATTGACATTGGCCCATGGAAGACCTCCACAGACCAGAAAAGAGGTGCCACAGTCCTACAGGAAAGGGACATCCCCAGATCACTCAGGCTCCAAGGGTAACTTTACCAGCTGGGCACTCTGAAAAGCTTCAGGTCTTGCCAGAAACTACACCTGACAGAGGACTGAGAATGTAAGAGAAAGACCAGGGATGTGGAGGAGTCTTCCATGGGAAAATCAATGGAAAGCAAGCCCTGGGATGTCTAAATGCCAAATGGAGCCCCAGTTCTAGCTCATTGAGAAATTCAGCCTTGACCTCAGATTCTCCGGAAATCCAAACTTTGCTCTGGGCAAATGATTTCTGATGCCTTTCTCTTCCTCCCTTTTACAAAGGTCAAGTTCTATCTGCAAAAATTGAGTTTGTGGTGCAAGTACATGGTGTTTAATACTAGAATAGTTCATGCAAACTGGACAAGATCCACATCGGCATCTGACAGCCTCACATCTCTGGCCTGGACTAGCAACAGCCTGCAACCAGCTTGCTGATGTCTTAGTTGGCTCCAGCCATGGTAATGGTGTATCTTAGACTGGGTGGCTTATAAACAACAGAAATTTAATTGTCACACTTCTAGAAGCTAAAAGTCTGAGATCAGGGTACTAGCATGGTGGAATTCTGGTGAGATCCTCTTCCAGGTTACAGGCTTCTTGTTGTATCTTCACATGGTGGAAAAGAGAATGCTCCTGGGGTCTTCTTTCTAAAGGCACTAATCCCGTTCATGAGGGCTTCACCCTCATGACCTAATCACCTCTCAAAGACCTAGCCTTCTAACACCATCACACTGGATGTTAGAATTTCAAGTATGAATTCATGGAGGGACCCAAAGATTCAGTCTACTGCAGTGACCTCCTGTCTCACCTCTCCAGCTCATCCTACACCAATGCCAAAGTCACCCTTCTAGACATATTTGGCCTTATCAGTTTCCTGCCTAAAACTTTTTGATGGCTTCCAATCACCTGTAGGATAAAGTCACTGATATACGAAGCACTCCACAACCAGTCCTGCTCACTTCCTGACCTCCTCCATATGCTCCAGCATCACCAACTCCTAGTAGTTCTCTGCTCACCCCAGGCCATTCCTCCATGCCCTTACTCATGATGTTTCCTCTGCCTAGAATGTCCTTCTCACATTCTTTCCCTTACCAACTCCTTTCCCCCTGGAGGCTTGGTTCACATGTTCTCCTCTCTTCCCCTCTATTCTCCTTCCCCTTGGCATGAGCTCTCTGCTCCAACATGCCTATCATTCCTGCTAGTCTGCTTCCCCTTCTACTAGACAGTGAATTTCTTGCAAGGACGGATCGTTTCTTATGCTGAGCTGGTCTCCCCCCAAAATTCATGCCCACCCAGAAACTGTGAACGTGACCTCATTTGGAAATAGGGTCTTTGGAAGATGCAGTTAGTTAAGATGAGGTCATACAGAAGTAGGATAGCCTCTAAATGCAATGTGACTGGTGTCCTTTTAAGAAGAGGGAAACTTGGAAACAGACACCCAGGAGAAAGCTATGTGAAGACAGAGACAGACTAGAGTGATGACTCTACAAGCCCAAGATTAGCATGCATTGTTGGGAACCACAAGAAGCTAAGAGAGAAACATGGAACTGTTTTTCTCTTGAACCTCAGAAGAAGCATGACCCTGCTGTCACCTTGATTTGGGGTTTGTAACTTCCAGAACTGTGAAAGAGCATATTACTATTTTTTTCTTTTAATATTTTATTTTTTAATTTATTTTGTTGCACTGGGTCTTAGTTGCAGCATGTGGGATCTAGTTCTCTGACCAGGGATCAAACTTGGGTACCCTACATTGGGAGCATGGAGTCTTAGCCACTTGAAGTTTCAAGAGTACATTTCTATTTTATTATTATTATTATTTTGACTGTGCTGGATCTCTGTTGCAGCAAGCAGTCTTCTCTAGTTTCAAACTCAGTAGTTGTGGTGCACAGGCTTAGTTGCCCCACAGCATGTGAGGGCTTAGTTACCCGACCAGGAATTGAACCCATGTCCCTTTCATTGAAAGGTGGATTCTTAACCACTGGACCACCAGGGAAGTCCCACATCTCTATTATTTAAAACCACCTAGTTGGTGGTACTTTGTTACTGCAGCCCTAGAGAAATAACAGATTTCTTATTAGGGTCCCTATCCTGATGTTTGGTTCACCAGCATGTGGTCAGTAAATGTCGAAAGAAAGAAAGAATGAATTAATGATCCTACAAATACTACTGTCTGCCTCACTCTCTGCTCTCAAGGAGCTGCAAAGGAAGGGAAGAGGGATTCAGGGCTAGAGATTTCACTCTGACCAAGGAAGCCAGGCTTAGTCAACACATCTTTATTGAGTACTTAGTATTAGTTGCTCAGATGTCTCCAACTCTTTGGACCCCATGGACTGTAGCCCACCAGGCTCTTGTGTCCATGGAATTCTCCAGGCAAGAATATGGAGTGGATTTCCATGCCCTCCTCCAGAGGATCTTCCCGACCCAGGGATTGAACCCGGGTCTTCTGCATTACAGAAGAATTCTTTACCATCTGAACCACCAGGGAAGCCCGCTTATCAGGTGCAAAGGGCTCTACAAGGTGTAGTGAAACAGACAGGGCTCCCATGCTGACAGAAACAAGCTAAACCCACGGATAGTTCAGCCATTACCATGGGTGCATCTGGCTTGATGTCTAGGTGATGCTCCCATCAGTGAGGGTGATTGGAGCAGAGCAGCTGAAGGAGGTGGATATGCAGGGTTTGCAGAAGGGAGGTTTTTTAAGGACACAGACTCCAAATATGAGACAGATATCATGGATAAGAGAGATGTATTTCCTGCGGCTGCAAGAACGGATATTTGAAATTCACAGAGAAACAGATTAAGGGTCAGTCTAAGAATTTTCTAATAGGAGGAGAAAGGAACTAACAATGTTGAATGCCTGCTCTGTGCCAAAAAATCAAATGTGGTTTATTTATACAATGAAATATTACTCAGCCATAAAAAGGAGCGAAGTACTGACACATGTTATCAATACAACACAGATGAACCTTGAAAACACTGTGCTAAGTGAAAGAAGGCACACAAAAAGCCACAACTTACATTTAAATAAAATAAGCAGAATGGGCAAATCTACAGAAATGAGAAGTTGATGAGTGATTGCCTAGGAGTAGGGGTGTTGGGGGGATATAGAGTAGCCGCCAATGGGTACCAGGTTTCTTTCTTTTGAGGGTGATAAAAAATGTTCTAAAATTGATTGTGGTGATGGCTCCACAATTCTGCGAAATTACTAAAAACCACTGAATTGTATACTTTAAAATAGTGAATTTTATGGTATGTGAATTATGTGTCAATTTGGGGAAAAAAGTAAGCCATTAAATAGTTTTAAGCTGGAAAGTGACATTTTTCATCTGCATTTTAGAAAGAATGTGCTCTGGCCACAGGGTAGAAAACAAACTGGAAGCAGAGAAATCCTGACAGTTATGAGGCTGTTACAGAGTCTTGATGAGAGATAATGGTGACCCAGACAAAGGAAGTATAGTGCAGATGGAGAGGAAAGGTCAGATCCATGAAGCACTTAGGATGGATGTAGCAGATTTAAACATACAGTCAGAACTGAGATGTGCAGAAATACGAGTTTCTTTATAATTGAATTCAACTTTGTTCTTGTGGTGGTTTTTAAAACGTCCTCAAAATATTTTGACAGTCATTCCTTCAGAAGGTGGAGTCTAGTTCCCCTCTCCTTGAATGTGACCAAATTTAGTGACTCACTTCTAACTAATAGAATGTGGCAGAAGCAAGGCTACATTAATTCCAAAGCTACACAATAAAAGGCTCTCTCTCTCTCTCTCTCTTTCTTACTGCCCGCTCTGGGCAAAGGCAGCGCCGTGCCATGAGGACACTAAAGCAGTCCTGTGAAGAGGCCCACATGGACACGAATGAGCCCTCCCACCACCAGCCAGCACCAACTTGCCAGCCACCCGAGGGTATCGTCTTAGAAGCAGATCCTCATTTTCCCAGGGAAGTCCTCAGATAAAATCCCAGCCCTGAGCCTTTGGGTTTCCCAGCTGTGGCCACAGTCTCCACGGAGTCCCTGACCCACTGAAATTGTGAGAGAGAATAAAAGAGATTGCTGTGCCAAGTCACTAAGTTTTGAGATCATTTGTTATGCAGCAATAAACAACCAATACAGTGCTAAAGCCCTGTGTCTGCTGAGAGCAGAGAACAATTAACCTTGCCAGGTAAAGGTAATAGAGTCACTTCTCCTTGAAAACTTAAGTCTCTTCGGGGTCAACACTCAGCTTCAAACTGATTTGAACTCAGAGTTCAAACTCCCTACTGGGGCTCCTGGTTTTCTCTACTCTTGCCCTCTCCCTAGGATGGCTCATCCCTGGGAGTTTTATGTAACATCGCGGCCCTGAGCAAGGGCTCCCCGGCCTCCCTTGAGGGCTGGCTTGTCCTCTGTGGCCCTTGGGCATTGGTTTCTGCCTCTGCAGCATCTGCCGCTGAAGTGGCTCTGGGCCAGGTGACCTGTTTTCCATTTCCCAGATGTTTAGTTGTTGTTGTTTAGTCGCTAAGTTGTGTCCAACTATTTTGCGACCCCCTGGACTGTAGCTCACCATGCCCCTCTGTCCATGGGATTTTCCAGACAAGAATACTGGAGTGGGTTGCCATTTCCTTCTCCAGGGTATCTTCCCAACCCAGGGATTGAACCTGTATCTCCTGCTTGGCAGGTGGATTCTTCTCTGCTGAGCCACCAGGAAAGCTTGTTCCCCAGATGAGGCCACTCTATATAATTCAGTTAAGTTCAGTTCAGTCGCTCAGTCATGTCTGACTCTTTGCGACCCCATGAACTGCAGCATGCCAGGCCTCCCTGTCCATCACCAACTCCCGAAATCCACCCAAACCCACGTCCATCGAGTCGGTCATGCCATCCAACCAACTCATCGTCTGTCGTCCCCTTCTCTTCCTGCCCTCAATCTTTCCCAGCATCAGGGTCTTTTCAAATGAGTCAGCTCTTCGCATTAGGTAGCCAAAGTATTGGAGTTTCATAGTTGTACACATTGTGTTTGTACAGGGGGTTCTACCAAGGGGCTGAATGGGAACTTAAATCCAGTGGTGCCCTGCTCACCAAGCTGAGACAGTCCAGAGGAGAGGGTGCTTTGGGCACCTCCCAGAAGGGGCGCCTATTTGCAAATCCCACAAAGGCATAGATCCAGACATCAGCCTTCCCCCACCCCATCCCTCTAACAGAGACCCCACCTCCCAGGACAGCAAAGAGTAAGGAAACTAAGGCACTTACACCTCAAGCACAAATTTAAGGCAATGTCCCCAAAACTCAGCAATCAAGATCAATAATATTTTACCATAGTATTTTTAAAATCAAATGAATGCTGAAAACTGAAACAAAATATCAAAAGTTTAATAGAGAAAAGATCCAACCCATTTGCATGACCCTGTCTCAATCACCTCACTGTAATCCCAGCCCTTGTTCCAATAAAACTTTATAAAACCAGGCAGCCAACCCCAAGGCCATGACTTGCCAATTTGATTTTTTTTTTTTAAGTACTGCAGTAAAGTATTATTTATCTTGATTATCCAATCGCTAAGCTCCTGCTAGCCCTGGCTTGTCCCACCAGCCCTCATCTCTCAGATTGGAGGCCACTCTGTATTTCCTGGATTCCAGCCACAGGCCAGGCACCAAAGGGGTAGCAGAGGAAGGCTGCCACCAGAGGCAGTATCTCAGGCCTTCTCCCTTCTGCTCCGCAGTGTTCAACCCCTGCTGGTGCAGGGCATTCTGGGAGTTCCCGAGAGAAACAGGGCACAAGTTGCCTTGGGCTGGGTGGACTCCCTGGTTGGTCTCCATCGTGCCCTGGGGTTCTGGTCCCTAAGTGAAACTGAGGGTGGGGAGGACAGAGAACACCCATCAGAACTCCAGCTCTCTGTTTCTTTGGGCTCCTTGGCTTCCCAGGGAGGAATGCCTCCTTGTCTGGTATAGCAACTACCCTCAAGCCCCTGATCTGTGGTTAGCTTTTTCATTCATTCATTCATTCATTCAGCCATTTACTTCATAGTCAATCCTCAGTCTCTACTATATGCCAAGATTTGCCAGATTCTAGAGATACAGAGAAAAATTCTAATACTGATGGGTCAAACAATAAGAGACAATAACATTTATAATAATTAAAGTCTCGTATATAAAGTGCAAAAATCAAAGTGTGTTCAGGCTTAGTTGTGGCAGGGAAGAGAAAGTGATTGCCTCTCTCCAGAAGCCTCAGGACAGGGGAGGTTTGATCCCCAAAGCTGACAAAGAACTTGAATGAGTAGCAGCAGTGGAAATAGAAGTAATAGGATCGATATAAACAGAGAGAGGCACATTAGAGGGCTTGCATGCGTGCTCAGTCTCTTTAGTTGTATCCGACTCTCTGCCACCCTATGGATTGTAGCCCGAAAGTCTCCTCTGTCCATGGGATTCTCCAGGCAAGAACACTGGAGTGGGTTGCCATGCCTTCCTGCAGAGGATCTTTCCAACCCAGGGATCGAACCCGTATCTCCTGAGGCTCCCGCATTGCAGTATTCTTTACTGCTGAGCCAATGAGGAAGCCCTCTTGAACCATTAGAGTAGTATTAGGCAGTTGACCGGAGCTTCTCTGTCACAGTAAGCGACTGTGTAAGCACAATGTTAACCCTATTACCCATTCAGTCTTCAGTCTAACTTAGAAGCATTGCATGAGAATAAACGTTTAGTTGCACAGATAGATTTTCGAACATGGAGAAGGTTAATTCAATCAACAGTTAAGCATCTGCAACATCCCTAGAGACTCTACGGTTCACTTCTTAAAATTCAATGATCAGTCCTGAGTTTAAGTTAAGCCTTTTTGGAATTTAAAGCTAAACTGTTTCTCTCTTAAGAGCTAGATCTTGCCAATCAAAATTGCTTTGCTCATAGACTATTGTTATCTGCGTCTGAAAAATCCATTCAGCCATTCAATTGCTGTGTTTGTTCTAGGCTGGAGCCACCCTCCCCAGAGGCGATGATGCCACTGACTCAGTAGGTACAGGCTACCCTGTGTCAGGGAACCAAACTTGCCATCTCAAAGTGCCTCTCTGGCCTGTAAATTATTTTGAACGGAAACAATCCAGGCCCAAAAGACTCAAACAGAAATCTTGACCTTCTCCCTAACTGCCTGGAAGATTTAGATAGAGAACCCATTATAAGAATAGAATTAACACCAGAAAAGTCTGGGCTGGGGTGGGGGGCACTTAGAGACCAGAGACCACTCTACGTCCTATTGTCTCTGCAGGGCCCAGAGAACATTTGTTTACCAAACATTTGCTTTTCCATCTCCTTGTGAATTCCCTTTTTCCTTTTTGAAGTCCCAAACCACTGCCCCCAACAACCTCTTTTGTCTTTAGGTGAGGACGGTATTTAAGGTGAAGTTTTCAGCCATTTTGGTGAGTCACTCAGTTTTTCTGGGTCTCTTCCATAAATACATGTTATGAAAATTTTGCTTGATTTTCTCCTGTTAATCTGTCTCACATCAATTTAATTCTTAAACCAGCCAGAAACCTAGAAGGGTAGAGGAAAAAATCTTTCCCTGCTCCGGCAATAAGACATATTGGTCTAATATTTCAAAACCATTATTCAGTCCCTTAGGAAACTGGTAAGATTTAAGGATGAGGCTTGGTTGGATAAGGGATGAGAGAGGCTTAGACCCAAGGGGCTTAATTTATAGAAAGGTTTGTCTTTGGGGGGATTCTTTTTGTTCCTTCCAGGAGAGAATAAGACAGCCTGTTAAACGATTCCACTTGGTGAGCAGTGAAAGTGTTAGTCACTCAGTTGTGTCGATTCTTTTCAACTCCATGAACTGTAACCCACCAGGCCCCTCTGTCCATGGAGTTCTCCAGGCAAGAATACTGGCGTGGGTTGCCATTCCCTTCTCCAGGGGATCTTCCTGAACCAGGGATCAAACCCAAGTGTCCTGTGTCTCCTGCATCGCAGGCAGCAGGTGAGATGTAGGAGAGCATATATTTACTGAGGCATCTACTCTGTGCCAGACTCCGCGTTCGAAGGGGAGCCCCCCTCCCAAGGACTGGGATGGTTCTGCTTCTGTGACTTCCACCTGAGGCAGCTCATGGGGACCTTGGGGTGGGTGAGAGGGGACTGGGAATAGAATTGTCCCAGCTCTTGAAAGGTTAGAGTGAGGTTACTGTGTGGTTGGGAATTTCGAAAAGTGAGCTTATATTTCTCCCAGGATTCCTGGCATTCAAAACCTGCCCTGTGGACCCTGATTGTGCTATTTGTGTTTTCTATTCCGATTTTCTGTCTTTCAGATACAGTGATATTTTGAAAATACCAGCCTGTCTTTGGCAATGTTCAGAGACCCAAAGAAAGGATTTCATTTCAGCCTGAGCTGAAGTTAAAATGGAAAAGTTGTCTCTTCTCTCTTGGACATGGAGAGGAGGGGACTGGTCCCCAGGGGAACGTGAGGACCTGGGGGAAAGCTCAGCTACTGGGGAGGCCTCTGGAGATGGAGAGAGGCTGGGCTCCAGGTTCCCCTGGAGTCCCGTACCCCCAGCTGAGTGGTTCGGCTATTGCTCCCTTCCTCCCTGGGGGGTCCCTGGGCATCCTCTCCTTGCACTTGAGCTCATCTCCCCAGCTGAGCCAGTCTGAGAGGCTTTGTTTCTGTTACTTGTCGGTCACAGTCCCTGACTCAAAGAACATCTTAGCTCAAAGGCATGATTCTAAGAGTGAGGATTCTTCTGCGCTGAGAGAAAAAAGCAGCAAAAACACCCTCAGACGTTCCTGATCCTGCCTTCCGCACAGCAGGCCACTTAGTGCTTTGTTCATTCCCCAAATATCTATTAAGTGCTCACTGTGCGCCGGCACCAGGGATGGGAACGAATAAATAAAGACACAGCCCCTGCCCTGAGGAGCTCCTTTCTGACGGAGGCACACGGCTAAGAGGGTGGGGTGAGCGTCACAGGGGTGGGAGGCAGCGAGAGCCCCATTTCTGGAATTCCCTCCTCGGAGGCACCAGCTCAGCCCGTTAAAATTAACTCCACCAATTAAAGGCGTCCTTAGAAGACAATACTGCCTGTCTTCCTCTTTATTTTTAATTGCAGGGCCTGGCCTAAAGTTGTCAAACCATTTATAATTAGAGCAGAGCCTGTGAGCAGGAGTTCTGGATTGGAGGAGAGAAGAAGGGGTGGAGAAG